CATGTGTTCGCAGACAATGAGGCGTCGCCTTTCATCTCGGACACCGATGACGATGGCATCCCAGCGCACGTGCTGCTGGACAAGCGACACAAGCTGCCGTATGTGCTCTCGGCCGCGCGTCGCCGGGCGGTGCGCTTGTGCCACGCGCTCTTGATGGACGACGACGCGACCAACCTCCATGACGTGGCGGCGTACAGCGTGCAGACGCTGTGGTTTGAACACCACGAGTCGCTGCAGTCGCTGGCGGCGAAATTGTCGACGCCAAACGCACACACGAACGCGCATGCGACGCCGATCAAGACCGCCCACGTCGCCGCCCCTCGCTCCGAGCGCATCGGCCGACCTGTCAAGCCCAAGAAACCACGCGCCCTCGTCTACTAACGACAAGCGACCCGGGCTGTTTATCAAGTATTACATACAGTCCAGCACGAGAATAAAGCCCTCCACTAGCGGCATGAACCCGTGTGCTCTCCAATGGCCATGGCACGGTAACAGGCAAATATACTTAAGAGGTTATTAGTGGGATGGAGGTAATAGCAGCACGCACACGAGTTCACGCCGTGTCGTCCTCCATGGGCGCGTCGTCGTCGTCGTCGTCGTCGTTGTCGCTGTCGCGCTCGCGGAAGCGTGGGTTGGCCTCCTTCTTCTTCTCGTCGTCGATGCTGACATCGTCGACGTCGTTGCGCCGGTCACTGGTCTGGCGGCGCGACGAAGGACGCGAGTCAAAGTCACCGACGCTGTCGGTGCGATCGCGCTTCATGCCGCCGGCGCGGCGGAAGTGGTTGGTGTGGCCACCGACGTCGTCGACCTTCTTGCCGTAGCCGCCACGACCCGGGTCGTAGTCGTCCTTGGAGCGGCGGTCGTCGCGGACTTGGCCGCCGGTCGTGCCACGGCCATACTGACGGCCTTCGCGGAAGCCGCCGTCGAGTTCGCAGCGAATGACGCGTTGGTCGAGCTTGGTGCCCGAGACAAAGTTGGAGCAAGCCTGCGCGTGCTCCTTGTTAAAATACTCGACAAAGCAGAAGCCGCACGGCGTCTTCTTGAGGCGGTCGAGGCCCATGATGACGGCGCGGACGGGCCCGACGACCGAGAAGAGCTCGTAGATCTGCGTCTCGCTCGTAAAGAAGCTGAGGTTGCCGACGTAGAGCGTGCTCGACTGCTTCATGGCCTCTTGCTGCTCCTCGAGCGACGTGTACGTCTGCCGGTCCCAGTACTCCTTCTTCTTGGGGCCCGCGCCCTCGGCGAGGCTCGCGTACAGCTCCATGACCACACAACCAAAATGGGTTCTGCCACAATTACTCGCTCGTAATTTTGCTATTTGTGGCGCGACGCTTCGGTGTGATTGGCCATTACGGCTCGGCCTGTGATTGGTCTATCATTGCACCATGATCGTCACTCCATCCATGCATGGCCCACGCCGAAGCTCCTGCTATTGCACGCATGCTACCAAGGGCATGTATAGAAGCGCTGCCCTAATGTATGTACCTCACGCTATCGCAGCCCGGACCAGTACCGTCGTGCCTGTGCTGACGTCGAAAGGTGCTGCAAAAGTCGCCCAAAACGTCCTCTACATTCTTGCTACTCCGTATATCACTTCTTGGCCCCCGATCATGGGCTGGACCGTCGTCCGCACGGCATCGTTGAAGACAATAATGCCATCGTTCTTCGCACTCGTCTGCCGAGGTAAGGAAATCGCATCGGTCCTGAAGCTTGCGTACGAAGACTTGCTTTGGTTGGAGCGTACTAGTACACCAGATCGGCCTGCTCCCTATATCTCCACATGCTCTTTATTGAAGCATCCGTTCCACCGTTGTCCTATGTGGCAGAAATTCACGACTCGAACTATGACGCAGTCGGAGGGCTCTCCTGTGGCAGCTGCAGGATCACGGTATAATACGTCTCACGCGGCGCTGTCGACGCGAAATGAGGCTCGAGTGATGACAAACAAGGAGGAACCTTGGTCGTGTTTTGAAGAAGTACGATCGGCGACGCATTCTGCAGCCATATTGCACTTGTTTACCGCCGCGAATGGCACCGTCCTGGGACCATGCGCTCGTTTACAGCTGCGCCAAGTGGGGGTGCTCGGCGAGCTCAATGTCGATGGACCGGCGGCGGCCACCATCGGACGCCGACTCGTTGCGACCGGCGTTGTGCAAGGGCGAGTCGGGGGCTTCTGTCGCAGGACTTGGCACCACGGGGCGACTGGACACGGGAATGTCGTGTGCAATGCTGCGAATCTAGCACCACAACAATCTGTCTTCTTGTTCAAGTATCGCAAGCGGCACGTACTGCGCCGTCCTGGTTGTCGGGCGACCGAAAGATGCGGTAGACGAAGAACCCAACGACGAGCGCCAAGAAGATGAGGAGCATCGTGAAGACTGTGATGCCGGCCGGTGTCGTCGTGAGCCACTGCATGACGGACGGCAGGAAGCCGCTGGCTGTGATCGACGCGTTCGCGGCGCTGCTGCCGTTGCGTGCAACGAGCGATGCTGCAATCTGGAAGCGCGAGTAGACACTGGCGTTGCTTGTGCTCATCGCACTAGACAGCATTGATACATTGAAAGAAAGCGAGAAAACAGAATGACGTACATGGGCGCCTCCGAATACACGAGGACCCAAAACTGGCCCGAAAGCGGCTCATTGAGCAGCTGCACGACTTCCTCCGTCCCATTCTAGTCAAAGTTGACTCGCATTCTGCACAACAAACGTCGTTCGTACCGAAAACGATACGAGGCTAAAGTCATAGATCGACCGCGGCGGGACCTACGCATTCATGTTGAATCGAAGGAGAAGGATGTCGACAGGATGACCTCGGCCACGTAGACGCTGGGGGAGACGCCATCGAGGTTGGTCACGCGCAGCTGAATGCCCGTGTTGGGCTGCATCGACTGCGGCAGCGTAAAGAGAGCGCCGCCATCGTTGGGCAGGGAAAATGTTGACGTACACACGCTGCAGAGCAACGACGCGTTCTCGGATGCATACCACAGCGCGCCCATATCCATGGGATTCGGGCTTTCGCACGTGAGTCCGTGCCAGCCGTTCTTGCAGCTGCAGCTCGGACCGTCCTTGCTGTCGAGGCACGTCCCTCGACCACCACAAAGGCTACGACGTTTGAAGTCAGTTGGTTGCTAAAGAACGCGTACAATGACATACGTCACATCGCCGTTGCCGCCACAAGTCGAGGACGGGTACACCTCGGAGAGGGCTGCCAAAGGCTGCACCAAGAGCTGTGCGTGGAGGATATCGGCCGCGAACCGCTTGTTGTAGACGGCAATCTTGTAGCACGTGGGCCCGCTGCACGCCGTCGAGACAGGCACCACGACCGTCTGCGACGTGGCACCAGCGGCCATGCCGTCGAAATCAAAGGAAGCGCCGAGGTCGAGCGCCGGTAAACCCGTTTCAAGAGGTCCCCGCACGAGCAGAAGCGGCATCGCATCGTCAATGTTGCTCAGCTGCACCTTGATGAACGCCACGTCGGGATCGGGGACATCCAGTGTGAGGTACTAGCCACCGAAACATGAATAATCGCAAGTGCAAACTGAGAAAAGACGGTACCGTCCACTTTCCAGGGTGGAGTTGGATTGAGATATTGATCGCCGACGCGTTGTGCCACACTCGACGGTGGGCTATGGGTCCGCGGTCGCAAAACGCTCCGCCGTAGCCGGTCGCACACGCACAGAGACCATCGAGGGCGGGCGAGCACGTCGACGTCGCCGCGGGGCATACGCGCGATGCGTTCACGCAGCTGCTGTTGGCTTGGACGTTGAGCGAAAAGGCCAGCGAGCTCCGTGCATAGAGGGTGTTGTAGACACCGATATAGAGAAGGCCATCGCTAAGTGTCGACGCCGCGCGCGTCAGCAAGATGCGCTGGGTGCCGGCTTGCGATGCCCACGCGTGGGCATCGGCCGCTTGGACCGGGTACGGGTGCGTCACGTCCAGCGACGGCAGTGTGTTTTTTCGTACCAGTACCAGTGCGTCGCTAGTGAGCGAGGCCGCGTCGAGCTGGACATGGACATAATTCCAGCTGGGCTGCACGTTGATCGTATAGAGAGCCCATTGCCCAATGTCCACCTATTAGTATGTTGTGGCATCGTGAGATAGACCGACTCGAAATGTTGCATCACCTGCTCGTCCAACGACTGCGCATAGACCACGAACGAGCTGTTGTAGTGCTCGACGTACGAAATGGACGGGATCGGGACCTTGCAGAGACTCTGTGCGTCATTCGGGCGGTCGTAGTGGTACGCCGGGTCACAGACACAGGTCGGCTGGTCGACACCATCCGCGTTGGTCTGGACCGTGCAGACGCCGTTGCCGTAGCAGTCGGTTGTGCTGCGCAGCCCTTTCGAGACAACACCGACGGGCGTCGAGGATCCTGGTACCTGCTTTTTGCGTGAGAAGATACCTCAGTACTGCCGCAGAGGCTACCGGGCAATTGTCAAAGTCGACACAGTCGGGCCGGCACTGGGGCAAGTTGCACGCATCGCCCGTCCAGTACCGATCGCACGCGCACACACCGGCGTAATACTAATCCATGCATGAGACGCGGCATCGCATCGATCAACGACCTTGCCGCAAGAGCCGTGGTTGGAGCAGCTCTCGCTCGAGCACTTGTTGAGCTTGACGGCGATTGTAAAGCGCGAGGCGGCGAACCCAAACACGCCAATGTAGAGGTACCCCGGGGCACCTTGGACGAACTGCGTGTTGGGCTGGCGGCAAAAGTGAAACGTGTCGTTGATGCCCCGGGGAAAGACGCCGAGGGTCCCACAGAGCGTGATGGCGTCGATGCCGTCGGTGCGGTTGGCGTCGCTCACGAACGTCGACGCGCGCAAGCTGCCAACACTTGGCGTTGGCGTCACGAACGAAGCGTAGACATCCGCGTCTATAGAGTTGCGCTCAACGACTGTCGTTGATGCAAGTAGATTGCACCGCCACGGGTCGTGACCACGTGCACCGTCACGTCGGACGAGCTCGAATTGAGCTGGACCCGGAAGAATTGATAGCTCTGCGCCATCGAATAACAGTAAGGACGACAAGTGCTTGGAGCCTACCTTGGCTGCCACGAACCCTTGGAACGCAGTGGCGTTTCCGAGCTCGAGCGTTGTAATAGGAGGCATTTGGTTGGTTTGGCACGATGTGCCATAGTACCCACTGTTACAGACGCACGACCCTATCCCTTCCATTATGTATATATTGTCACCGCCGGTGGTATACCTGTCCTGCAGTCACAGCTGCCGTTCGCGCCGCAGCCAGGGCAGCCCGGGACGCATTCACACGCATTGCCTAAGCAACGATGGCTGTGCTGCATGCATGATAGGACGACGGTCGACGTACCAGAGTACCCAGCGTGGCAGGTGCACGTGCCAGCAACCGCGTTGCACGTGCCGTGGTTCGAGCACTCGGCAGCATTGTACTTGAGGTCGTTGATGCCCGGGCACACAAGAAGCGAGCATGCCAGACCCGTGTATCCAGGCTTGCACTACCGCGTACACATGGACAACTCGTTCAAAGACATGAAAAACGTTAGTACGTACGGTGCACTGCCCCGTGCTGCCGTCGCACGTACCCTGGCCAGCGCATGTGGCGCCATTGGCCGTCGGGCAGTTAAGCAGCGAACAGTCGGCACCGTTGAAGCCTACGTCATCACCACTCTTTTGCGGCACTCATCGCTATAGTACAACGCACCAGGGTGGCAGACGCACGAGCCGTCGGTTTGTAGAACGCCGGCGCCCGAACACTCGTTCTGGAGCCGCTGACAAATGGCATTCGCTGGCGGACAACTAGTCACGCGGTGTTAAGCTTTTTTCTGCCTGCGACACAACATAAAAGCACCTGAGCGAGCCCGAGTACCCGGGGACCGACACGGCGCCGCCAGCCATGGGGCACGACACTTGGGTGGTGCCGACGGTCAAAAGCATCGCGGTCTTCGTGCACCGATCGACACGATAGCACACGGGTGTCGACGTCCTACATGACAAATTGCAATCGATGACGACGCGGCCGTCATTCTACCGGGTGCCAGACGTGGACAGCGTTGACTGAAAGCACTGGCTCGACGGCGACAAGATCTCACCCATGTTTGGCGTCACATACGTGCCCTAACATCACCTCTCGCATCGAGTTCATTTTTCAACTCACTTACGAGGTTGGCACAGCCGCCGTTGCTGTAGCCAGCGTTGAGCGGGCAATAATCTGCGTACGTGTCTTGACCGCCTACGACTGGTCTAGCGCCATATGCGGAATGTCGAGGACGCACCAAGCGCCGCGTTGCCGAAGTATTGAAACCCCGCCGGGATGCTCGACGTGTACGTGGCAATGTTGCAGTAGCCTTTGGCGTCGCGCGTTGGCGTGCAGCGGTCGCCCTTGGCCCTGCAGAAGTAGTCGCTGCTCCACTCGGAGCACTTGGCCCTAATCAATATAAATGGTTTCGCGCTAAATCCATGCCAGTGTTCAAAACAAAATGTACGTGGCGAACGTGCAGCCTTCAAGGTATCCCCACGCAAGCGCCTAGACCACACATACCCCTCCGTTTAGCACCCTAGACCCACGACGACGACGATGTACTACGACCTCTGCCATCGAGTAGTTGGCCGTGTACCACCCGCTGTCTTCAAAGAGCGCGAGTGTGAGCGCTGAGAAGACCGGGGTCGCCGATGCAGTCGCCGTCATGTACTCGTTCTGGAAGAGACGTTTCTCCCAGTGGCTCGTGGTCGTGGCCGCGGTGCCCTGGGCTCCGTTCTCGAGCTCGCCACCGGCGTTGACCCTACAAATATGACTAGATGGAGGACGCATTTCGTCGCACGCGCGAACCAGTTGTAGCAGTTGAATTGCTGCTTGACGGCCGCCACGACCTTGGGCGTAATGATCTTGGAGACGGCGACGCCGCGCTCGAGCGTGTTGGACACGATGTTGCCCGCGCCCCACGGCGCGCCGTTGAGCGGCTGGCGAAAGTCGGGAAACCGCGACGACGAAAAGCCCAGCGCATGCGTCATCTCGTGGAGCGCTGTGCCGACTTGCTGCGACCGCGCCGCACTCGACGCATCGAGCCTACAGGCTTGCTCTTCACACTGGAAGCAGCCATTATTGAAGCACGCACCGATTGGGGCCAAAGTTGGCTTGGCCCGAGATCGGGCGGCCGTATTGGTCGAGGTTGCACGGCAGCGCCCACGCGAGGACGGCGCCGGACGTGGGGCGGGCCGTCACGTGGATGAGAAAGTCCGTTTTGGCAATGCCAGTCGATGCCAAGTACGGTGGCATCGAGTTGGTGCAGCAGGCCCACTGCCCATTCGAGCCGCACCCGATGCCGGGCACGACGAGGTTGCCCGAGACCGACTGCACCGAGAGCACTTTGGAAAAGTACGACGTGATCGCAGGCAGGAGCACGTTGGTGATGAAGCTGCGCTTGTCCTAATGTGTGTTGCCATCGATTATTCGCATCGGTGCGGATGCCCGGTCGTATGTACCGAGGTCAAGACGTCGTTGCGGATGCCCGGTCGTATGTACCGAGGTCAAGACGTCGTTGGGCGCACACGTGTAGCTCGACCCGTCGCGGCTCACGACGTCGCCGACGTTGGCACAGAGGTAGCCCGGATCGCTACGCAAGGAATGGCAGGAGCTGTCGTGCAGCTCATGATGGATCGTCATCGTACCTGAAGAGCTTGGACGTGTCGAAGGAGATGCGAATGGGATTGAAGAGACTGCTGGCGACGGCGTCGCCGTCGAGGCGGCGACTTGTCGACGACACGAGGTTCTGCGGGCTGCGCAGCGTCGACGCATCGACGTCGGCCTACGACCTCGCTGAGCGTAGCAGGAGCGAGGATGGCATAGTGTACGAGGAAGCGCTCCATGAGCTCGTCGTGGCCGCAGTCGTGGCCGCCCACCGCGCTGTGGATCATGACCAGCATGATGCCAAGACAGGCGCGCAGCATGTTCATCGTCGTCTTCGCCTGTGCTTCTCTTGGCAACTGCCAACCGACAAGATCTCGAGCTGCGAGTTTACTCGATTAAAGTATACGGCGGCAGGGCGCGTGGGGATTGGCTGGATTTCGCGATCTTGGGCGGGTGTCGATCAAAATCGAAGCGATGGAATTTAGAGAAAAAATTGCGGGTTGTCATCTTCAAGCAATGTACAATATTTCTCATACTACGTTGTACTAACTATGTGGTTATGTGAGGCCAGCCAGACACACGTCGTGTACTACCTCTGGCATTCCTTGAAAGTGCAATGGTACAACTACACTACTTGGATAGACGATGTGGAGTTTCGACGGTGGCATCTCGCACAGCTTCTGCGTTCTGTGAGAAAAGCTCCCTCAATATATAAATAAAGCCTAGCGGGCACGCCAGCAACCTCCCAGCTCGCAGTGGTGGGTTCGTTGGGCTATGACTACATATTGATCGGATCTAGATCTGGATTCGAGAGCTCTCGAACGAGCCGAGGCACTTGCCCCTTGCAGCAGGTGAACACCTCGTTTCAACACGTCAAGTGATCGGTGTGCCTCTAGACATGTAGCTTGCGTCGGAGGATACGTAACAGGAAGCCGCCATTATGGAGCTATGTTTGAAAATACCTTTTTTGAAACAGCGCAGTCGGCCCAATTTTAGAGTCCCGTCGAGGCATGGAGATGCGCCGCCTCACGACGCCGGTGGTCATCGACAACGACGATGACGACGACGACATGGGTCGTCCGCTCGAGGCGCCTGCGTCAGGGGCACGCAAAGATCCAGCAGGCCCCGAGTCGGCCGATATTTTCCCGAGGGTACTTGTCCATGACGAAGCATAGAGACAATAAGCTCTCTGCCTAGTGGCTCGTCGAGCGCAAGGACTTTCAGACGTTCTTTCCACGCTTCTCCAACAAGGTGATCCTTGAAGACGACAAGCTCCGACTCGCGGCGCAGAAGGACCCTGATGCGCGCAACGGCATTGACATTCAGCTCCTCTCCAAGTGGCTCGTCAACGTTCCGGCGCTCAAGTCGCTCAACGTGGTGCAAGCCGGCGAGCTCGCCAAGCGCATGCGCTGGGCGTCCGTGGACCCGCTCGAATTTGTGTTTCATAAAGGCGACATTGGCGATGCCTGCTACATCCTTGTCACTGGCGAAGTACACGATCCTTTGCATCATCTCGAGCAACATGAATGATCCAGTTGTGAATGAATATGATGTGTAGGTGTACGTGGTTGTCAACAATGAGCGCGTCGGGACGCTCAAGAAGGGCATGAGTTTTGGCGAAGTCGCGCTCGAGCTCGAGGACGCGCGCCGCACCGCCGACATTCAAGCGAGTGAGCGCGGCGCTGAGCTTCTCGTGATTCGTGGCGAAGACTACCAAAAGAACGTGTTTCGCTACCAAGCCAAGCGCCGAAAGAAGCTCACGCGCTGGCTCCGAAACGACATTGCGATTTTCCGCGATTTTTCCGACAACAAACTCCGGTATTTCGAGTCGGTCTCGGTGGACCTCTTTCTGCACGCGGGCAACTGCGTCTACATGGAAGGCGAAGACGTCGGCGCGCTCTACTTTGTCAAATCTGGTACGGACGCTCGACTTGTATCGATGCCGAATCGGCGGGTAGGGTCCATCTCGCTCGAAAAGAACGTGCTCTTTGAAACCAAGCACCGACGCCCCGTGACCGTGCACTCGTGGGTCGTGCAGTCCCACAAGACGAGCGTCCAAGTCCCATGCTTCACGGTCGAAGCCACGGGCTCGTTTGGCATGGAATTCTTCGTTCAAGTACGCGTCTCATGCAATGTCTCTTCCACTAATAAGCTGCGTCCACTAGCTACCGACGCGGAGCCATACGGCCGTCGTGCTGACGGATACGCACTTGGTCGCAATCAACAAGGTCGACTGCGCCTCGACCATGCATACGTTTAGCGTCAAGGCCGTGGACCGTCTGTGTGAAAAGTACCGACGCGTCCATGTATGTGCACGCTCGAGGCAACACGTTGGGGCATTTGTAGGTACCGCGATATTTGGAACGCCACCGTGACGTCGACGCAAAAGCAAGTGCGGGCGTACAACAGGCACCAGCGGCACAGCAGCGCCCTCGTACCTCAAGGTAGACCAGAACAGTCGACGGGCCGTGCCTGGATAGAAGCGATTCGTTTGGTAGTTGGCGCCAATAGCCCGGTTTTCGTGCGGCAGCGGCATCCCGACTCGAAAGAAGACCAGCCGAACTACCAATTCCCAAGCCTTGAGCGGGCAGCGTGGACAGCGACGAACGCGGTGGTTGCCAAGGCCCAGCGCGGCTGCGACCCTGCGACGACCAACTTTTTACTCTCGTCATCCACGTCCTGTACACCTTTTTTTGGCCTTGCGCTACCGACCTGCTAACTGTTGTGCGTGTTTAGCACCGACGCTGGGCTCCACGACGGCGTCGATGCTGTCCTCCATGTCGGCGTCCGTGTCGTCGACAGCTTCCATGAAAAGCCTCCCGCGCCTTTCATCGTGATCGTACAGTGGATGCGCCATCCTCATCCGCATCACTCGACATGTCTTTCACGCCGATGAACGAAATGTATCGAATGTTAATACGTGCAGGCATGTGCTGTGCACGGTTTGTGGCATCGCAACCGAGGTCGGACTTACTGCTGGATGAGCGGCTGCCACGTGCACTGGTTCGAGAGCTCAAACTTGTGCTTGAAGAGCCCGGCAATGTCGTCCCAGTGAAAGTCGTCAAAGTTGCGGATGACCACATTGTGCTCATCGATGACAAGTTTGTGCGGCACGGCGTGCACGCCATAGCCTACCCGTCGCCCCAAGTCGATATATGCAACTGTCCCAGGACTCGTACCGTCGGGGATGTCGTCGCAGCCAAAATGCAGCACGGTCGGGACATCGCCATTGTCCAAGTACTCGGTGCACACACGGGGTTTCTTCGTTTTCGGGTTCTCGGCCCGCACAAAGTTGAGTGCGTTCTGAATCTAAGGGCGACGCATCGATTCATAGCGCCACCATCGAGAGGCATACGTGCTTGTCGACGTTGATGAGGACAAAGTTGACGAACGGCGTCGGAATGTTGTGCTTGGACCAGCGCTCGAACTCCTCGACGGCCGGGACGCACGAGTTGCACCACGTGGCGTAAAACATGATCACCGACGGCTTGCCGTTGCCCGTGATGCTGTTGAAAGCCGTGATCGCCCCCGTCTCGAGGTCCACCAGGTCAAAGTCCGGCGCGTCCTGGTTCACAATCACGCCCGCCATGCTTTTGCTCCGTTCCGAAATGAATAATCTTTCTTTTGCAGGGTTTCGTGGATTCGAACAATAGATCTTTCACGGCGCCATCGTCGATTGCCATGGCGGTCAGGATCTCACTGCAAAATAAATGATTGTCATTCAATCAACGAGATCGTGGCCAAGAAGAACGTAGATTTCTTGGCGCCAAAACGAAGTCGTATGGGTTCACCACTCATTGTGTTTGTGCAACCAGATTCAACGGGACAAGGTGGGACACGGAGCATCCAAAATGTCCTTTGTAAAGACGAGCGATTGCATTCATGGAGCTGGCGCCAGCGATAAGACTTGGTCATTTTGCCTCCAACAACCACGCGCTCTGCAAAACTAGACTCCAGCGAGAACTCACAAAACGACGCCACGTACACTGTGGGCCAGGAGAATACCGCACGTGCCACCCACTTGACTCTGCCACTTCAATTCGCCATCTGATTGGCCAAAAAGACGTGCTGGCTGCACGGCCTCCACGCGGATTGGTTGAAATTCGACATGAAACGCCGAAAAATCTTGTGACGAGTCGGATGCGACCACTTTGCACTTGTCAAATTGCATTTGCATATCTTTCGAGCACTGCCACGATGGTCGTCCCTCTTCCTGCTTCGCTGCGCGGCCCCGCCGGCGCCGCCCGCCTCGAGGCTCTCTGCGCCAAGTACGACACGCCGCTCCAGCTCTACGACGAAGGCCTCATCCGCGAGAACGCGCGAGGCCTCTTCCGCGCGTTCCGGACGCATTTTTCGACGTTTGCCGAGTTTTACGCGGTGAAGGCGCTGCCGAACCCTGCGATCCTCAAAATTCTCTACCAAGAAGGCTGTGGCTTTGACTGTTCGTCGACGGCCGAGCTGCATATTTGCAAGACGCTCGGCGTGCCCGGCGACAAGATCATCTACACGTCCAACTACACGTCCAAGGAAGACCTCGCGACAGCATTTGACCTCGGCGTTATCATCAACCTCGACGGTACGCTTGCTTTTGGCCACTCCATGATGCGAGTATGCAACCTATTAGATGTGTCGCTTGTCGATGCGCTTGTCGAGGTGCGCGGGCGGTGCCCCGACTTGATGTGCTTCCGCCTCAACCCGGGTCTTGGCCGCACCGACTCGGAGACCAAGTCGAACGTGCTCGGAGGGCCCGATGCCAAGTTTGGCGTGCCGCCGTTCCAGGTACAATGCCTGCCCGTCTGCTTGCTCACATTGTCGTACGCGAGTAGATCGTCGAAGCCTATCGCAAGGCGCAGGCCGCGGGCGCCACCCGCTTTGGCATCCACATGATGACGGGGTCGTGCGTCATGAACGCTGACTACTGGAAGGAGACGGTCACGGAGCTCTTCCAGACGATTCTTTTGCTCAAGAAGGAGGTACTCTCTCCAACTCTCCATCGTATGCTTCAACAGCGCCGATCTAGCTCGGCATCACGATCGAGTTTATGAACATTGGCGGCGGCCTCGGGATCCCGTACTACCCCGACCAGGTACGTCCCGCTTCCGGCGCCAAGTGTCTTATCTGTGGTGTAGCCGGTCGTCGACGTAGCTGGCATTGCGCAAATGCTTCGCCACGTCTTTGATGAGCTCATGGCGCAGCACGGCGAGGTCATACCCAGCGATTGAAGGAGGTGATAGAACTCAAAACTCTTTTTGCGTAGACGTCGATTCCGCAGCTCTGCATGGAGAACGGGCGGTACATGACGGGTCCCTTTGGCTGGCTCGTGAGTCGCTGCCAAGCCATCAAGCAGTCTTACGCCACGTAGCACACGCCCCTCGTTGTTATCACCAACTCATGAGACGGAACTAGGTACTATGGTCTCGACGCCAACATGGCGCACCTCATGCGTCCAGGCATGTACGGCGCGTACCACCACATAACGATTCCGGCGCGGGACGTGCCGGGCGCTGAGATCGTGGCGGCCAACGTCGTCGGCCAGCTCTGCGAAAACAACGACTGGTGCGATATCCTATCAAGGCGACTGAGATCTCACAGGTGGTGGCTAGGTTTGGAAAGGACCGACCGCTCCCCAAGGCCAGCGTTGGAGATCTCTTCGTGATCTACGACACGGGCGCGCACTCGCACTCGATGGGGTTCCAGTACAACGGCAAGCTCCGCGCGCCCGAAGTGCTCATCTCGCCCGACGGCTCCGACCGCCTCATGTACGCAAAACAGCCATTCGTGGCTCGTGATATTGATGTCCTTTGTAGCCGCAAGCGGGAGACGTACGATGCGCTGTACGGCAACTGCGTCATGCCCGACGACCTTTAATCCGCAGATCGTTTGCTTTCTACGTTGACAACACGCTCTGTCTTTTCCTCTTGCAAGGTTGTGCACGCGAATAGTGTGCATTCTCCAGTCCACTCGGTCGTCGCCAAATCAAGTGTCCGACACGCGACAGCCTTGCGTTTCTATCGTCTGGAGCCTCGGGTCGAGCCCGCCATCGGTGGCTTGAGCATCGATTCGTAGATGAAGCATCAAGCCCTTGCTCCTATCCGCCTATCCGCATGAGGACCGGAGCTTTAAGAAAACAAAGCCAAATCCGTCGGCTCCTGTGCATGCGAACGCTGCAGATGTGGGGTGTCTTTAAAGTGGATTTTGTTTTAATTTGAGCTGAAGCGTCTCAGATAGCTTTCGCAGTGGGCTTGCAGCTTGTTCACAGCGTCGGACACCAAGCTGTCGTAGTCGGTCTCTGAGCCATCGGTCCGGAGCCACTCGAGGCGAAAATGCGCCGTCTTGACTGCGTCCACAATGGTGCGAATCTCGTTCTTCTCGGCCAGGACAGCCGCCGTAGCCGACTTGATGCTCTCTGGGGGCCCTTGCAGCAGAGAGTCGTCGCCTCCCAGATCGCCGTCTCTGCCTCAAGGTGGTTGCTCAGCATGTCCAGCTCAAGCGCCACCCAATTGGACGCGTGGTTGGTCTCGCGGATGGGGCGCCTCACGGTCTCCAGCGCCTGCTCGGGCTCGGGCAGCTGGTCAATTGCTGCAGCGAGAGCGGGACTGACGTTGTTGAGAGCCGCCATTGCCTGGGGCAGCTGCGATTGGCCCTTGAATAGCCAATCGGAGAGAGCTTGCTTGTCAGCGTTGGGTACCTCGAGCAGCGGCACCAAACGACGACAGAGCTCAAGCACGGAACGGACTGACTCGTTGTACGTGCGTTGGCTCTGGATGAGGAGCCCCGTGAAGGCTTGGATTCAGGATGAGACTCCTCGTGTAAACGTGCTCTGGTGCGTCGACGGCGTCTGGAGCATCGGGTCGAGCTCACGCCACGGGTGGCGCTTCGCGGTGGCTTTGCTGTACCGGGATGTGCTCGACGTCGCCATGACACGACCGCTACGGACAGGGTCGAATCAAAAGTGAGCGAAAAACACTGTTGCTTCAATATGCTCAAGTGCTACTTGATACTTGATACTTGATACTTTCTGTCGGGTCTTGGTACATTATCCGGACAACCATTGGAAAGCCGGCGATCTCATTGTCGAGTACATTTATCCAGACCCGATGCCTCCACAAAAACCCTTCAACTCTTTTGAGAGTGGCTTCCAACAGCTCGTATGCATGTCCGCTGCTGTCACTGCCTCGTTCACGAGGGCGGCTGGTCGCATCACGGCTCCTGTACGGATACGAACCGTATTAGTAGTACGTAGGGCCTTGCCTCGACGTCCAATCGGAACTGCAGCGGCTTGACAGTCCCGCAACTGCAAGTACGACAGTACTGTACATCGTCATCAATTACATCATACAGGCTCGTCGACCGCCGGCAGCTCGAAACACGGAAACGGCGACAAGTGCGGCATCGCGTCCATGGGCGAGAGTGCTTGCAGATAGGCGTCGTTGGCCTTGAGCCACGTATCGTCGACGAGGCCTTCGTGGAACGCGCCCATCGTGGCGCCATCGGAGAACGCATAGCCGCTCTCGGGGTTCAGCGACCAGACGTAGCCGCCGGCGTAGCCGTACGTCGCTGGCTCGGCCAGCATCGCGACAACGAGCTGCGTCACGCGCTGGTTCGTGCGCTGGGGGTGCGTGTCGCCACCGTACAAGCCGCCAAACTCACCGAGGACGACGGCGTGCGGCGTTGTCCTACCGAATCCCACGCGTCCTCACAACCGAGAAAGTGCAATGAGAAGCACCGTACGACGTGAGGTAGCCAAACATGTGTTGCATCGAAAGGGCAATGCGCGATCGCAGCGTCGCGTCGTCGAGCTCGACGTAGCGTTGCAGGGCGCCGTTGCTGTCGACGGTGCCGCTGGCATACATGTACGGCTGGACGGAGACGGACGGGTTGTAGTAGTGCGGCGCATAGACCACCTTGTTCGTTTGGCTCAAAATGACCGGAAGACTGCCGGCTTTTTGAAGGCCGCCGCCCCACCAGTCGAAGTACGAAAACTGGTTGGGAATGTCGTGGGACGCCCATGTGCCTTCGACAAACGCGAGCCAGGACGGACAGCCCGCGAGCATGCGGTTGCCGAGGAGCGTCGCGCCCGTGCGAAAGTCGGACGGCTCGTCCGTGCCCCACGTCGCCTTCCACGGCTCGTTCTTGAGGTCGAGCCCGAGGACGTTCCAGTAGCGCGGCGCACACAAATGGGTTGTGAGCACGTCGACGGCCGAGAGAACTGCGTCTTGGGGCACGGCCGCGCTGAACCAGTTGTCGCCCTTATCGGTTGTCGTCAGTGTGTGAAGGTCGAGGAGCACCGAGATGTTTCTGGCCCCCAGCGCGACGATGAGGCTCTGCAACATGCGGACGTAGCTGCCAATGTCAAACTAGACAAAAAAACAACTATGAGACACGCCGGCCAATATTTAGTCGTCGTATACCGCGCGGTTGGACTGCAAATTGACGAGGCGCGGGTCGGGCGCCGTGTTGCGAAGCAAATGCTCGACACAGAGAGGCACGCGCACGCTGTTGAACTTGTGCTCGGTCAAGAACGACGTAATGGCCATCTATAAATGCAGAATATTGTGCGTCGGATGCGAGTTTTTTTAGTAAAGGGCAATATACCACCGTAGTGCCATTGATGCCATTGTCCCAGAGACCCATCGGGATGGCCGCGGCCGTCTCGGCGCCAAACCTGCACCATGACGAATTAATTTCATAGAGGCGCTTGCTTGGACGTCTCGTACCAGTTGATGCCCTTGATGCTGACACGCTGCGAGGTACCAGCGTGTTCGGCGTAGATGCCGTTGTTCCTGCTCACGTAGTTTGGCAATGCGCACCCTATTCGCCCATGCATTCCCCATCGTCGCTACAAGGGCATGGGGCATCCTACGTCGCGCGGGGTAGTGGCGGGGGTTGTCGACTTGGCCGTCGATCGGGTCGATCAGTGAGTCGTTCATCGAGGAGCCGTTGCTGGCAATGCGCTTGCGCTCGGCCGCCGCGAGCAGCTTGGCGCGGACGCGTTCGATGGTTCGTGTGTGTACGTTCTCGCCGAGGTACGTCAGCAACACGACGCTCCCGACCAGCAGCACGAGACAGAAGATGGAGCCTGGCCAAATCTACACGAATGATGACGTGGCAGCGCGAGCGGTGGAGGTTGCGCACCGTGCGACGGCCGTGGTAGTCGCTGGGCTTCTCGTCGTCGGGCGACGCGAACTCTTGGGGCGCGAGCACGGGCACTGGACTTGGCAGAGGGCTCGAGACGACGACGACGACCATCGCCATGTTGGCGGATGGCACTCTCCCACGGACCCGCCCCAACGTTCCCCAGCTGGGTTCGGTGGCTCAAGAAACAAACTTACTGGTGTGACAACAGAACATAACGACAACCGTGTTGTCGTTATGAACATTCGGGTTCGGATTCGCAGACACAACGACCGACTATAAATCCCACGGGACGAAAAAAGACCCAAATCCAACGCCAAATTTGGTGTTTAATGGGCATTTCGTAAACGGGCAATTTCATTGCAATTTCCTCATTGCACGTCGATGTAATTGGCTCCATTCCAAGGACATGGCAGCAACCGAGCGTGCCTCTTGCGCTGGATACGAGGATGATAGAACGGTACATCCAGCGCAGTGAATCGGTGGGCACCGCTATGTACGGTACTAGTATACGGTACAGTATAGCCTTGGGACAGTACACACCGGTACATGGGTACATCCACGCAGTACATGGACCCCGATCCCAGAAATGGTTAGCAATGAGCATGCCTTCTTGTGCATTGAATCTTGACACGTTCTTGGTTGGACGATGGAGACGTCATCTCTTGAAACACTCCCCAGAAATGAGCATGCCTTCTTGTGCATTGAATCTTGACACGCGCTTGGTTGGACGATGGAGACGTCATCTCTTAAAACACTCATCAACTTGCTCGTAGTACGTGTGCTCTGCAGGTAGACAGACTCGTAGAGACTGAAAGGTTGCAAATGTATTTCGAAAATTGATGGTGCGCTGGTCAAGTTACTTGGTCTTCTTGGACTCGTCGGCGTTCGTAATGTATTTTTTGATGACGTCGGCCTTCATGCGATCAAAGCCGCGCGGCAGCTGCATGTACGCTTCGACCGCTTTCGGGATGCGGAGCATCGAGTCCGGCGCGTGCTCCATGTAAAACGCGGTGAGCCAGCGCGTCATGGCCCGTTCCCTTCGCTTCCGGAGACCCCACGGCAGCACGAAAAAGAGCGTCGCGAGCAGACTCGCAACGACGACGCCGCCGAGGAGGCCATCGCCAAAGACATACGACATGCTCAGGTTGAACGCGAGCCAGGTCATGTTGTACCACGAGAGGAGGTCGTCGATCTTGTCGTTGTCGATGCGCGCGTCGAGGTCCGTCGGCAGCTCGACGCCCGCGACCTTGATGAGCGACTCGAGCTGCCCCTTCATCATGTCGTCGATCGCACCAAGACCGCGGAGGTCGCCCGGGAATGCTCGGTGCTTGATCGCCGAGTTATCCACGCGGCGCTTGACTTCGGGTGCATCGTCGTCGCTCTCCGTCATTTCGACGCCGAGCACGCTTTGGATCATGTCGATCTGCTCGGGGCTGAGCACGAAGCCGACGGTGCTGGCGCCGTCGTTGGCTTCCTTGCCGAGAGCGACGTCAATGACGCTCTTGAGCACTTCGCCCGTCTTGGCCTCTTGGAACGCGGGGCCTTGGTTATCCTTGGCCAGCACCATGAGGCACGGCAGCGCGGTGCAGGCAAGCGAGAGCAGCTTCATGTGAGGTGCGTGGAGGCGGCTGGGCCGTGGCGAGCAAGACGGAAAGTGCATGGCTATCTCGCGTCTGCCCTTTCAAGATACCGCCAAGTCGTTCGAAAAAACATCGAAGTTTCCCAAGATACGCTGGTCGGCTAATCGCACGCCACTTTTCGCGCGAAAGATAGAAATGGGTCAAGTCACGGCGCGACAGCGACGCCGCGACGCGCTCCAGGCAAAGGGCGGTCTCACCTTGATCATCGTTGTACATTGCGGTGTCTTCAGGACGAGGCGTGCGCGTCGTATCCGGTGGGAGCTCGTCGTGCCATGGGCCGATTTTCTTTCACCTGCAGCGTTGGCAACCCAAGAATCGACGGGCCTGACCATGGAGGGACTGGGGTGCATACGTGGGGAATGTATTATATTGGGTACGACTCGCACATGGCATCACGGCCTTGATCGTGTCGTGTCGCTGTGAAGCGAGGGCCCTCGATTGAAAAAAGGTTGCGTGCGTCTATCCAATGCCGAAGCGATGTCCGTACTTCGAAGCTTCGATGGATTTCAGCCAATCACCGCGTTGCGTTCCATGGAAAGGCCGGCGATCTTTCCGGCGCAAATCAAAGTCACTTGCCATTTCCGCAGCCCGAGCTCAAGCGGAATGAAGACGACGATGCTCCTCGGCGTGGCGCTGGCTGCGTGCGTGGCGCTAGCAGGCGCCGACATTGCGGCCGGCTCCACCTCGTTCGACGCCAAGATGGCCGAGCAGGCCAAGAACCTCCACAAGTTCATGCCGGGCCCGACGGGCCCTGGCTTCAAGGACAAGGGCATGACAAACGAGGCCGAGTTCGCTCAAATGGGCCGATTCGGCATCCCCGACTTGAACAACCCGACGGCCGAAGACCTCACGGACCTCAACTTTGACACGGCGATTGCCGGCGACGCGTACGTGGCCGTCCTTTTTTACGCCCCGAGCATGGACGACTTTGAGTTCGTCGCGCTGCATTGGGAGAAGGCGAGCATGGAGCTGCACGAAAGCAGTCGGTTGTATACGTCGGCTTCGATCCGCATGGCGCGCTTGGACATCTCCGAGCCCGAGCACGGCGAGATTGCCGAGCTCTATCGCGTCGACGGCGACAAGCCGACGATGCTGCTCTTCCACAACGGGTCGGTCGTGCAGTCGATGGACGCGCGCGGCGGCCACACGGAGATCCAAGCGCGCATTCTCTCGACGACGCTGCCGGCCGTGACGCACATCACATCGGACGCGGAGCTCAAGAAGTGGAAGCGCCGCAAGGTCTATCAGCACGCCAACATCAAATTCCTCGCAGTCCTGGACGATGCGCCGTCGTCATTGGCGTCCTACGAAGCCGTGTGCAGCGAAATCAAACGCCGGGCGCCGTGCGGCTACGTCTCGGACCGCGCCCTGCTTGGCGCCATCGACGTCGATCCAAGCGCCCGGCATTTCCTGCTCCGCGACTTTGATGCGCCCCGCGTTGTGCCGTACCTCACCGATGCGTTCACCGCCAAGGGCGCGCTCGAGCTGGTCGCGGACTACGACATGCCCCTGCTCACCGACCTCGGCGACAAGGACGAATCCCGCGTCCGCAACTTTCTATCGCACCCCAAGACGTTCCGGCTCCTCGCGTTCTTCAAGACCGAGGCCGCGAAAGCAGCCGCGACGCCGCACCTCGAAGCGGTCGGGAAAGCCTTTGGCCGCGACCTCCTCGTCGCGTACACGGTCGAGGACCCCGAAGATGCGATGAACTTTGACTATCAGTTCTGGGACGTGCCGAGCGACGTGCCGGCGATCCTCGTCGTCCACATGCGACGCGACCGCAAGTACCTTTACGCTGGGCCCGACGCGCACAGCGCCGACCAGATCCTGTCGTTTGTTGAAAACGTTTTGCGGGGCGACGTGCAGCCCAAGCTCAAGTCGCAAGCGAGCCCGACGCCCAACAATGGCGCGGTCCGCGTCCTCGTCACCAACTCGTTTGCCAAGGAGGTGTGGCAAGCGCCGCAAGCGGACACGCTGCTGCTGCTGACGCGCAGCGAGCGCCACGGCCCGTCGCAGTGGTTCACGCAGCAGCTCGACGTCTTTGCCAAGGTCTGGCGCCGCGAGAAGCGCCTGCTCGTGGCCCGCATGGACATGCAGCACAACGATCTGCTCGAGCTCAGCGACGACGAGCTCGCGACGCTGCCGAAACTCGTGTACATTTCGCGCGACGCGAAAACGACCAAGTCCCTCGGGCCCGCGATGTCGCAACTGTACCCGACGATGGACGAGCTGCGCCAGTTTGTCCAAATGCACCAGAGCATGGACTTGGTTGTCGATGAAAAGGTCTGGGCGCGGGTGTACGCAGATGATTTGGAGCTGCTGCGCCAGCACCGCGAAGCCCAGGCCGCGAACGCGGACATTGAGCACCCAGGCGACATTTTGAAGGAGATCGAAGCCGAGATCGAAGCCATGCAACATGCGCCCAAGGACGAGTTGTAAGACCATGGCTGTACTTTTCGCGAATATATACGAAGCTACATTTTGCGCTCAAAAGAAGCTTGTCCGATGGAGTCCAACGTTGTTGTGGCGACGTCCTCAGTAATGACGTCTTCAGTGTGCATGGTGGTGTTAGCGTAGGATAGCTAGAGAGACACTGCACTAAAGACGACGGCTTGATGATGGGCGACTCGTCGGCTTGACGATCCTGGCCACCGGACCCCGCATTAGGGCGTGAAAAGCGGTTGCATACTGGTGTACTAAAGGCTAGAGCTGTACTGGAAGCGGAGGTGACAGTGATTGTTCAATGCAAAGTGCGTCGATTCAAACCTATCGACAGCACTTCTTGCACAGAGATGAGCTCGTCGACTAAACCGCCAACTAACTTGACAGTACTCGGCTTGGCCGACGTCAGCTCCAACGTCCAACGGCTGAGACGCTTCATCTCCACACCATTTTCACGCATGGGACCTTGAGCACCGACGCGTTCAACGCGGTCGCAACCGAGCAAGAAGTGCTCGTAGCGTGAAATCTCGAAGACGCAACGCGCCAATCGGATTGCAGCGTTTATCGAACAAATGACAAAATCTTCCATCGAAGGACAAGGCGACGACTTATTGGTGGGCATTCTGACTTGCAATGCGGCGCGAGAGTACCCTCAAGACGCCGACGGAGGGCGACTACGAGCAGCCGACGTACGCCGATGAGAAGCCCGACGTCACCGTGTACCGCGAGTCGGAGATGACAGCGCGCGACACGACCCTGGCGGACGAGCTGCCGGCGGCTCGCCTCACCCACAGCGAGTCGGCGCGCAGTTTCAAGGGCCGGTATCGGGTACAACGATCCCGCCATTCGTTGTTTTCAACAAGAACCTTGCATTAGGTGTGGCCCGGCGCCGTCCTTCTGCTGGCCATCACGGCGGTCGCAGTGGTGCTCATGGTCTACTTTGCGGACGAAGCGCGCACGTCAATGCTCGACCTCCGGCTCGCTGTTCAGATGCGACAGTACCGAATGCGGCAGATCGACACAGGCTTGACATCGGGCTCGGGCACGGGCTTGCCGCCACTCATTGACACGGACGGGGTCGTCAACAACCCCCAAGTGTACCCCCCTCAGAGTACGCCACCTGGATCTTGTGCAATTTTGCATTTTGTCCATTTTTGGCCAAGGATCTCACCCATGCCCATAGCGTGCAAGCAGCCGAATTACATTAGTAAGAACAACAAGATTTACGCGGTCGCGCCCAACGGCACGGAAATTCCCCTCGGCATCAAGGGTCTCAACTGGTACTACAGTAGAGCTCATCTATCGTCGTCGCTCTGACCTTGAGCCCTAGGTTTGGCATGGAAACGTACGCGCCTTGCACACATGTGCGATGTATTCATGTGGCGCATTAGAGGCCAAGCCATTCCGTTCGGCCTCTGGACCAACGACAAGAACGGCACGACCGCGGTAATGGAAATCTGTATCAAGTTATCAACTGGACATGCGCTTCTAGTTTCAAGTGGCCGAATTCCTTGCAGCCAACAAGATCAATAGCATTCGGCTGCCCGTGTGCATTCAAAGCATCGTCAACAACATCAAGCCCAACAAGAACCTCATCAACGCCGCCGCGAACCGCGCGGTCGACGCGTCGTCGTACATGGCGCTGCTCAAAAGCATCATCTCGACGCTCGCGTACCGGCGCATTTCGGTGCTCATCTCACTGCATACGCTCACGCCGACGGATTCGGGCGGCGCGTGGTTCAGCGATGCAGTGCCAGTCGACATGGTACTCCACGTCTGTATTTTTTCCATTTTTGATGCTTTTCTATCGCACTAGTTTATGCAAGCGGTCGATTTGCTCACGACGAACCTCTGCAGCGACAAGTACTGGAACATCATCGGCCTCGACGTCAAGAACGAGCCGCACCTCTCGACGTGGGGCGACAATGGCCCCAAAGATTTCCTCCAGGGCGCCACCGACATTAGCCACCGGATGCTGAAAGGCTGTCCCAACTGGCTCGCGTTCGTCGAGGGCATCGTCAATATGGGCCAGCCCGTCTCGTTCAATGGCGTCGCCATGACGTACAACGACTGGTGGGGCAGCGGTCTCCAAGGCGCTGGCGCCAAGCCCGTCGTGCTCAACACGCCGCACAAGGTAATGCGACACATTATTGTCTCATTGTCCACCTTGAAATTCATGCAATGTTGGTGTAGGTGGTGTATGCGCCGCACTATTACACCCCTGCCGTGTACCCCCAAGCGTACCTCTATGGCGGGGGCACCCCAGGTCCCGGCGGTATCATCACCAAGTACGTACTGCCTCCATGTTTATGCGCAGCGAAGAAGACTCACCGAAAATAGCTACGTCGAGCTCTCGGACGCCGACCTACGAGTGCGCATCTCGCGCACGATGGAGGTCATGTTTGGTTTCCTCGCCAAGACCCACGACGCGGCGATCGTGCTGGGCGAGTTTGGCGGCCTCTACGCGACAGATCTGCACCCAAAGCTCACGACGAAGCGCTGCACCGACTTTACGATCGAGGCGATGCTGCAGCCGGGCTACTCGGGCGGGTACGTCTGGAGCTTGAACCCTGAAAGCGCGTATCAGTTCAATCCGGCGGACGCTGCGGGCACTTTTATTGAGGGTGTCGTGCAAATCGACTGGCGCACAGCCAACTTGCCGTTCGTCCAGGGCATGCAAGCCATGGACGCGATCGCGGACCTCCAGTTCTTTCCGTGCTTTCCCTAAGTTGACACAAATCGATATGCTACGAGTTCAGCTGCTTGTTGAAAGCTTTAGTTACTGTCGTGTTGTCCGTGGACAGAAAACAGCTGAATACCTTATGTGCGTTCTACTACTATAGTATCTCGTAGCGAGTGGGGTGTCCCGGTGACGGCGCGTCCGCAGTCGAAGCAAATAAGACTTAAAAGAGACGACGCGTCAACTGCACAAGCCTTCGCGTTCTAGCTTGGCGGGCGGTCATCCGATCCCCTTATCCAATGTCTTGTTCACTTCAACCTTGGTCCTGCGACGGCATTCCGGCGGGATGCTCTTTCTGCTTCGGGTTGATGGTTCTGCTGCATGATGCTCGTTCGTATGCAGGACCTCGGACAATGCCCGAAGCTTCACACGTCGCCCCGGACGCACTCGCAACGACCACGTGCTGAGCTCGGAAGCTTCCCAGTGCCCGTACAGGTGACATCGTCGAGTCTATCTTCCAGCTTCATCATGTCAACCACGCCAATGCAATGGCTTGGCTTGAACGACAATGGCTCGCAAGCGACAGAGTCTTCGACGGTCGCTTGCTATATGAGGACAGATCCCTCGAACCTGATCCAAGGGTGCTCCGGCGCTGGCTGCAGCAATTGCACGTAGAATCAGAGGGGGCTCTGCTGTCTGCTCCTACGTTTTGTCTTATTCCGCTCAAGCCCATTTGATGCCTTAGACCCTGAAGACGACCACTGCCGCAGAGGCACCGGGCGCGGTCAATAGCGCTCAACGACCCGACGTCTGGGAAGCCCAGCATTTCAGTTCACACAACTGTGAAAACCGTTGTGATGATCTCTTCAATGAGAAACACCGCATATGTGATGAGCGATGCTGGCGCCCGTCAAGACGACGGGAGCGAATGGGTCGCAACACGGCAAACGGAGTGCACACAGTCCAAGCTATGCAGAAGGTAGTAGTAAATTGTTCATCAGGATGTCGCGCGGCCCATCCTTTATCGCGGGTCGCACGTGACCAAGCCGAGGCCTGGCATGTCGTTCATCTTGGTGGTCGCCGCGAGCTGGTTCGGGTTCGCCGCGCGCCACGTCGCATCCAAGAGACCGCCCGACTGCGGGATCGACGAGTTCGGACCTGGGTGCGGCCAGCTCTGGTCCGGGTTGAGCGCATACCAAAAGCCACCAGCGATCGGCTTGTCGCCGCTCGTCATGCGGTTGATGATGCAATCAATGACGCGCGATGCCGTGCCCTTCGGATAGAGGTCGTCCGTGCCATAGAGCCCGCCAAAGTACGAGAGCACGACCGGTGCCGTCGTCGACGTCAGAAGTCCCGTAAACATCTTGGTCATCGCGTCATCAATCGACGCTTGGAGCGAGGCCGCGTCCGGAAACTCCGTGTACGACGAGAGCATCGAGAGACCCTTCGACTCTTTGAAGAAATACGGCTGCGGGTACAGCGACGGCGTCCAGAACGGCGGCGCGTACACCACCTTGTTCGGTGTCGAGAGCGTGATCGGCGACTGCACGGCCGACGACAGCGACGCGCCGGGCCAGTCGGTGATGGTCTTGGCCGCGTCGTCAGAGCCAAACTTGGACGACGTCGTCATGCCCTGGACAAAGACGAGCCACTGCGGGCACGCCTTGAGGATCGCATTGCCGACCTTCGTGGCAAAGCTGCTCCAGTTGGTCTTCTCGTCGCCGTCCCACTGCCCCGACGCACCGGCGGGCACGTCCTTGACGTCAATGCCAACGACGTTCCAGTGCTTGGCGTTGCACATGGCGGTCGCGAGCCCCTGCACGGCGAGCTCGTACTGCGCCAATTTGACGTTGATGTTTTCCCACCCGTTGCCCTGGAGGTCGTCCGACGAGTTGCGCAACGACCAATCCATGACCGACCGGTCCGTCTGGTTGAGATCCGCGACCGACCGCGTGTTGAAGTCAAAGACGACCGCGATTTGGAACTGACCGAGACCTTCCGTGAGCGCCGTAAGCACTTGGATGTACCGGTTCAGCGACGCGAGCGCACGCTGCGAGTTGGTGTTGAAGTTGGTCTTGACCATAATGTTGCGCGCCGTCGCGTCCACGTCGATCGGGAAGCGCACCGCGTTGAAGCCGTTCTTGGCCAAGAACGAGCCGATTTGGTACTACAAACACAGACGCAACGTGAGTGGCCCATATAAAAGTGGATCCTGCTGCCTCGTACCAGCGTGTTGCCGTCGCGGGCGCCGTCCCAAAGGCCCGTGATCACGTGGTCCCAGCCTTCCATGCCGCGCCAGTTGACGCCCTTGAACACGAGCGGCTTGTTGCTCGACGACGTTTGCATGATGATCTGGTTGTTGTTGGTGACATAGTTGATTTGCGCGCAGCCCTTGTCCTCGTACTCGGTCGGGTTGGTCACCGAGAGCGGCAGCGCCGACGAGTTGGTCGTCGTGCCCGAGCCATCTGTGATCGTCGTGCCCGAGCCATAGATGAGCGCGAGGTCCGCGTTGTTGGGCTGGCGGTTGAGCATGTCTTGGTGCGACGTGACGCCCCAGTAGCTGAGCCCGCCGATGGCGCCGAGGATACCGAGCGTGAGCGCCAGCGCGCCGGGCCACACGGACCGGCGGCCGCCGAACTTCTGCTTCCGGCGGACGCTCTTGCCGTCGCCGACGTTGGCGGCCGTCTCGGGCACGGCCATGATATCCTCCGACGGTCGCATGCTGTCTGTTGCCGACGGGGAAAATTCGATTCTAATTTTTTAAATCGGCGTGCGATCGAGGTCCCAGTGGGTCTTTTTTTAAATTGCGTGCGCGCACGTATGTATTACGCTCGGGAATAAAACGTTGGTATTAAATGACACTTTCGATTTCTATTGTATGACCCCAATATTGTTCGATTGGCATGTGACTTGGCTTCAGTATGCAAACTTCGAATTGTAGAGGCCGGAAGAGATCGATACAGTAACCAAGTCATCGCCCATGTATAAAATTTGGCGCCGATACAACCTCTGAAAATGTATATCTCCCAGCTGCGCGTCGTCCAGCGTCTAAATGGACGCAACCAAGAGCTACTCGGATATTTGACGCCGTCGCTGAGGACGCTTGTGGTACGATCGCTCGCGCGACGCGGTGGTGCGTGGTCAACGCACGGTCGCAACAACCGTGCTCTCCATGCCGTGCCCAAAACGCAGATTTTTTCAAGCGGGTTGTTCGATTTTCGGACCTTCTCTCGTTCGAGTACAGACAGCGTCGTGACAAAGCGCACCGTGCAATTCCCCAAGTGCACACATTGGGGCTCCAGTGTTGGCACAGCGAAGTGTTCGCTGTGCCACCCCTCTCTTGGGGCTCTAGCTCCTTCCGCTTCTGTTTCGATGCACACGTTGTCGTCGTCGTTGATGATCGTGCCAAGCTCGTCAACGCTACAAGGCATCGGTTTTAATCATCCTAAAAAGATAGCACCCACTGGCCCAGCCTGCATGCTTTTTTATCGAAAAAGCAAGATGCGCGCAAGGTGCATCTCGTCCGAGACGTTGAGACGGAGCTCGGATGCGACCGCATTTCGTATCTCATCGTGCGCATTGGAGATTTCTTCGCTGCACGGATCAGCCCATCAAGTCCGTTGCACGGATTCGATCTGCAACCCGGCGCGGTGATACGTACTGTAGCGTGATCGCGAGACGTCCATCGTCGAGATTTTGTGAATCTCTCTATGGTGCTGCTCGAAATCCAATTCCGCACGTTGCGTGCAAACAGCCTCGCCGTCGCAGATGACCTCTGAGACTGCATACACCGCGAGGTAATTGCGGGTGTAATGAGTGCCAGTGGGCCTGTCACGCTGTGGACACTGCGACACGGACACGATCCGCTCGCTGGAGCAGCAGCGACCCTTGCGCTGCCGGCACTACGGTACCACAGCCTGGACCCTTCTTCGCTGCAGAGCGTGTACAGTATCCGTGCCCATGTCAGTGCAATCCTCTCTCGGAAAGCTCGCGCTTCCTCTACGCTCTTTGACCGCCCACGCAAAAGCTTGCCATCATCCCATGTGCTGGCGCCGTGTGCCAATTTCACACTCGCGGTATTTCGCACGACGTGGGAAATACCATCGGCATGTGACACGTTATCCGGATATGCACGGTGGATTGGATCGCGATGGCCGCGTGGACCAGCGCCGACGACGACCGCCTCGTCGCCCTCGTCGCCGCTGTCGGGCCGCGCTGGAGCACCATCAGCGAGCGCATGGCACTAGGTACGTGCACTGCGCACGGTTGGCGTGCGTTAACGACGCAACATAGAGGGTCGTCCACGCTCGCGCAAGCAGTGCCGAGAGCGCTACGTCCAGCACTTGGATCCAACGCTCACAACGACCGCGTGGAGCGACGAGGAAGATGCAGCATTGCGTCTTGCCTACGAGCGGCTTGCTGCGGACCCTGCCAAGGTGCCACGTCTGCGCAAACGACGATCATCGTAGACATGGACGGTATAGGTGCCGTGGACGTTGGTGGCGGCGGCGCTGCCGCGACGCCGCAGTGTCGAGCACGTGCGCTACCGGTGGCAGCAAATGGCGCGTCAAGAGCGCGTCAAGCGCAAGCGAACGACGCAGGTACCTTGGAGCGAGAGCGAAGACACGACGCTCGCGCGGCTCGTGGCGCGCGATGCGCCGTCCTGGCTCCACGTGGCCGCCAACTTGCCCGGGCGCACGGACCTCCAGTGCCGGCAGCATTGGAACCAAGTGTTGCAACCGGCGCTGAAAAAAGGCAAGAAGACGTGGACTCCTGCCGACAACGCGCTCTTGCGGGCCAAGGTCGCCGAGCTCGGGTCGGCCTGGACAGCGGTGCGAGGCTTCGCGTTCATTCCACGATCGGTCCATGCACAATTGAATAGATTGCCAAGAGCTTTCCGGGTCGGCTCGGCAAGCAGTGCCGCGAGCGCTATCGCAACCACGCCGACCCGTCATTGACCACGGTATACACCGTCCCAACCCTCCACGTCTTAGGACCATCACAGGCACCGTGGACCGCACATGACGACGACGCGCTGCAGGCCGCGTACACTGCGTACCCTCAGCAGTGGGCGCGCATTGCCGAGCATCTACCTGGTTGGTACACCGTCACCACTCTAGTCATAACAAACACACAAACGCAGGACGCTCGGAAAATGCAATCAAGAATCACTGGTATGCGCTGCAGACGTCAGGGGCGCGACGGACCCGAGCGGACAGCCGTACGCCGCCGTAATGCGGGCGTTGGCGGCGGCCAAAATGTCGTTGAATTTCGCTGGGGACTGGACAGACGCGCGCCGGAGTCGGCGCAGGTGCGCTTCGGCGACATCCAGCCGACGCTGTGTAATCGCATTTAAGACAGCGCGTTCGAGATCGACATCATCGTCCCTTGTGTGATGTGTCGTTGGTGGCACGTTCTCCCGCGGCTGTGCTGGAATCGGCAGCCCGAATTCTTGCTGGATCGACGGCGGTAACTCGCCCCAAATGCTTGCATCGATCTGGGACAGCGGCGGAGGGCTTGGCGCACGGCGTGGAGGGCTTCTGGTCGGGCGTTTGGGGGGCCGGGGGGGCACGCCAGAGACGAACGCCTTGGGCTTGCGCTTGACGGATGCTACATCGCGTAGCTGTGCAGGCTTGCGAAAGGTCTGACGGATCTCTTGCTGAATGGACGGCGGGAGCTCGCTGAGGACGTCCGTGTCGATCTGCGAGTACGATGACGGCCACTGTTTCTCGGGGGCTCCGTTCGTACGCGACTTTGGAATCGACGTCAGAATCTCGTCTCGCAGCTCGCGAGGCAGTGTCTCCAACACCTCGTGGTCAATCTGAGACAGCGACAGCGCCAGTGAGCTCGCCGATGTTGAAGTTGCTGGCGTTGTCGTAGGCAGAGGCGGTGCCTCTGGCGCGCGCCGCACCCATTGGTCGAGGCCGCTTGGTGCGACTGATGCTGGCGCGTCACCAGTGCCGTTTGTCTTGCTGAGCTTGGATGCTTGGATGCCAACGCCGCGAATGTCGGTGCAGACGACGCGAAACTGCTTCCAGAGTGACGTGGCGGCCGCAAGAATGTCAGCGAGATTGGCCGACGGCGCCGGCAGTCGAGTCGTCTTGCTCACCGTGTCGACGGCGCCACAACCCAGAAACTTGCCCTAATTCCATACGAGTAGTACTCTAGTATGTACAAGAGCAGTATACCGGTTCGAGCGGGGCACCTTCCTGGCGCGTCTTGACTTTAACCGTGAGACTGCCCGCGACGAACACTCCTTTCACTAGGCGAGCCGACACCTCCTTGGCCAACTCTAGCACAAACTCGAGTGCGTCCTTGTCTGTATCGAGTCGCACGCCGTAGCTGATCTCGGCCGAAAGCGACTTGGCCACTTGACTCAGCTCGAGGGGCCGGTGGTCCTCGCCCCGCGCAAATCCACGCAGCGTCAGCGCCGTCTTGGGACCAACGTGCGGCGTGAGGTCGGCGACGGTCCAACGCTGCAGCTCAGCACACGTGGTGATGTGAAGCTCGTCCAGCTTTTGCTGGGTCACGTGCCTACTCAAGTCAATGGCTCACTCAATGCCTCTACGCACCACGCCATGCGACGCACCCGACGCCCGGGAGATCGCGCACCGACAAAGGGTCGACGTACACGGCCGCTTCATCGGCGGCAATGGCAAACACCTTGTCGGGCTTGGCTTGCTTGGTCGCCAGACTACGTGGTCTGTGAGAGGGGTAGGGGAGGGGTAGGGTACCGGGCGAGCAGAATGTTATGGGCCACCCCGACGCTGGCCGTACACTGTGTTTGGTCCCAAATCGCCGCACGAATCGCGTGTGCCATGGCAAGGCCGTCGGCGCCTTTGGGAAACTCGAGAAATGCCTCGTCGCAGCTCACGGCGTGGACCGCCGGCGTAAACCGGTAGAAGATACGGTAAATGTCGCACGAAATGCGCTCGATGGCCTCAAAGTCGTACGGCAGCACGACCAAATCCGGACAGAGCCCTTTGGCCTACGGATCCAAGGGATAGTAGTATTCAGGTCCTTGCTACTGCGCTGAGATAAATAGATAGATATATACTCGCTCCATAAACATGCCGGCGCGCAGCCCACGCGCGCGGGCGATGTAGTTGCAGGACGAGATTTCCGACGTGCCCTTCTTTTTGGGCTCATTGGCGGGCTAGCACCATAGCATAGAACCTGTTTGCGCGCGATGTGAGGTGCAATCAACGCACGTACCTGCGGCGTATCGTGCGACGAGTAGCCCGAGTGCGCCACGGCGACAGGCACCGTCTTGTAGACGGGCGGGAGGTTGCGCACCGCGACCGACACGAAGAAGCAGTCCATGTCGACGTGCAAGATCACGCGCTCGTTGCTCTCGCAGTGCCCGTACTGCGATGCAACGAGCGGTGCCGCCGACGCCATGAGCTCGGCCGCGTGCGACTGGAAAAAGCTCTTCCACGACCCAATGTGGTGCAGCCGAGAGTTGTCGAAGAAGTGGCGTACGAAGGCTGCGATGCCGTCGCGGGTCGAGAGCGCACGCGTCCCCTTTGGTGGACTTCTTCGCGCTTGAGGCGGACTGGCAATGCGTGTCGGCGATGTTGGCTCGCTCGCGTTCGGTGGGCCGGATACCGAGGGTGCTTGCGCCGGCAATTGTGATGATACCACGGCGGATACCGGCGGGTGACCCGTTTGCAATGGCTGCATCAACGAGCAATCGATCGCTGGCGCTGGCTGGCGGCAAAGTCCGAGCGTTGGTACCGTGGTGTGTCCAGATGGTGCGTTGACGTGTGGCGCCGATGGCATCGACGGCGCGAGGGCATACGGCTGCGGTGCTGGCAACGTGGTAGGTGCTGGCAACGTGGTAGGTGTTGGTAACGTGGTTGGTGCTGGCGTCGTCGTTGTAGGCGCAAGGTGCAGGGTTTGCTGGCCGACCGCGCGGTAGCCAGCGTACAAGTAGGGCTGCGTGCGGCACACCCGGCCTTTCTCGATACTGTCGAGGATCCACTTGGGGTGCAGGACGGGCAGTGGCTTCCGGGCGCGCCTACGACAGCGCATCGATGAGGCCGCCGTGGAGTCTGTACGTACAAGAGCTCTTTGAGCTTGGACTCGGCGACGTGCGTCGCTAGCATGTGCGTGACGCGGCTCGTGTGGTACGCTTCGTACTGCCCGCCGTGCTGCAAGATGAGCTGGCGCAGCTCTTCTCGTGGCGGCTCGGTGTGGCCGTTGACAAAGATCACGACGCCGTCAAAGATGCGGTCGAGCCGCCCGATGCCGTCGTTCTGGCCGCGCAGCTTGCGAATCTTGGACGCCATGTACTGCCCAAAGCTCAGGTTGGGCGCCTTCTTGCCGAAGAGCGGCGGCGCCTTCCCGTCCATCGTCGTCGTTGATCCGACAAGGGCGCGAGACAGGCCGAGTTGGCCCCGCGCGGCAAACTCCAAATGTTTATCCGGATCCGGTGCAAAACGGCGACTTCGAGACTCACCACAACTGCATCCGCGTTGTTGAGTTTCAGATGTCATGAGTCTCAATGTCAATTGAGTTTGAGATGGTCACTCTGTCAAGCGATCAGCTGACGTCGTCAAGGATTGGCGTTGTACACTGAGTTGCTCGAGGCCCGTCCACCCCAGCGTCCTCCTTGCTACTGCACCAAGCTGTAGAATGCTAGGTACCGGTACAAGAAGGAGCATGCCATTTGGATCGATCCATGATCGAGTTGATATCCACGCCTTGCATCGGCTGCGAACGAGTCGTGCACGCCTAGGCTAGTACATATATCGCTGCAACACCGGCATGCACTGGTCATGCGCCTCGTAGCTGGAGCAGGAGAGCTGACTGTCGTCGTCGATATATGTGTTGTAGAGCCCTTCGTACACTGATCCATCCGTGCCGATAGGATCGGCCATGAAGACTGCGCTGGGGCACGCCACTCGGTCGAACGGTCGGGGGTTGCGTTGCGTGCGATTAGCCTCGGTAGTTTTGTAGCGATCTTTTGCGGTTTCTTGCCATTTGGGGTTTTCACCAATGTTTGGCCGGTCCAAGGTGCAAGAGCTCACGAAGAAGCCGTCGAGCATCACGGTCGGGAAGCCGGCGCTGGCCAAGAAGACGACCGACGGACCGCGGAAGCCCGTCCATGCGCTCGGGGTCGATGCGACGCACCTCCAGGTAGACTTGAAGCGAGCACAGGGTCCAGGAGCATCATGGATGTGGCGTAGCCGGGTGCGCGGGTGTGGGTCCCGGACAGCAAGGAGCTCTGGCGCGTCGGCGAGATCGAGACGCTCCTGCCCGATGGCAGCGCCAATGTCTTCGTCCCCGACAGCCCCGATGACAAGCACCAGGTATGCATCCCTCTCCGCTGCCGGACGGGCGCGATAGCATGCGTTGTAGGTCGTAGCGACGGCGGCCATGCTAGCGTTCGATCCGTCGCACTTGGTGGACCACACGGATATTGCGCAGATGAACAACATGCACGAAGCGCCGCTCCTGAGCGTGCTCCACCGGCGGTACCTCGCGGACGCGATCTACACGTTCACGACCGACATCTTGATCTCGGTGAACCCGTACAAGAGCATTCCACTGCTGTACGACGTCACGGGCTTCATGGAAGCCACCAAGACGCAAGCCGACTGCGAAATCAAGAAGCCCCATTTGTTTACGATCGCCGAAAAGGCGTACCGGGACATGCGCAACGCGCGGTGCGGCGAGACGAACCCGCAGTCGATCGTTGTGAGCGGCGAGAGCGGGGCGGGCAAGACCGAAGCGTCCAAGCACATCATGAAGTATCTCGCGGTCGCGAGCAAGCTGGCTGAAGGTGGGAAGACGTCCAAAGCCGATGCGTCGCTGCACGAGAAGATCGAAGAGTGCGTCCTACTCTCCAACCACGTCCTCGAGTCGTTTGGCAACGCCAAGGTACACTTGCAAATGGATGTCGATGTGATGTTGATGCATCACGTGGTAGACGTCCCGAAACGACAACAGCAGCCGGTTTGGCAAGTACATTCAGATCCTCTACAACGGCGACGGGCGCATGAACGGCGTTGCGATCAAGCACTTTTTGCTCGAGAAGACGCGCATCGTGGCGCCCGAGACCAACGAGCGCAACTACCACGTTTTTTACCAGGTACCGTACAACTGCCATCTCAAAGTGCAATCTCAAAGTGCAAAGTGCAATCTCAACGTGCCAATTCAAAGTGCAAACTCACTAACTATCGAATTGACTAGATGCTTGCCGGCTTGGATGTCAACGAACGGGCCGCGCTCGAGCTCCAGGATGCGGCTCACTATGATTTCTTGACATATGGCAACTGCCTCGAGATCGACGGCGTCGACGATGCGAGCGACTTTCGCGTCCTTCGCGCATCGATGACCCAGCTCGGCTTTACGCCGTCAACGCAGCAAGAGATCTTCCAGGTGCTTGCCGGCATCCTGAAGCTCGGAAATGCACGGTTTACCCTCCGTTCCGACGATCGCGAGGCGTGCCAGTTTGCCACGAGTGCGTCGTACGGTTTGTCGTCGCTACTCTCATGCTGCTGCATAGACGTCCCCGTGGCCAAGATTGCGGGGCTGTTCCGCGTCGCGGCCGATGAGCTCGAGGACAAGATGACGACCCAAACCACGGTGACAGGTCGCGGTTCGATCCTCCGCATCAAGCTCTCGTACGCCGCCTTGATAGAATGAATGAGCATGTGTGGATAAACGGCGTAGGTGCGACCAAGCCGAGGTCGCCAAGCAAGCATTGTGCAAGTATCTCTACGGCGAGATCTTCAACTACATCATCAGCCGTCTCAACGCCATGTGTGGCGAGCACACCAAGCCTGGAAAGCACCCGTTCATCGGCATCCTCGACATTTTTGGGTTCGAGATCATGCCTACCAACAGTTTTGAGCAGCTCTGCATCAACTTTGCCAACGAGATGCTCCAACAGCAGTTTAACCGCCATGTCTTTGTCTTGGAGCAGGCACTTCTTTCTTTTCATAAGAAGAGGGGGATGACTCAACACTTTCTATGTAGGAGCGGTATGCGTCGGAAGGCATCTCGGTCTCGGTCATCGAATTCAAAGACAACCAGGCACGACAACTGGATTACTTAAGTCCAGATTCTCATACATCAGGTATAGGAGTGTTTGGACTTGATCCAAAAATCCCCTGCGGGTATCTTTCCACTTCTGGACGAGCAAATCATGCTCAAGCGCAAGACCACGGACCGTCAGCTCCTCAACATCTACCACCAGGTCGACTTGCAAGGGCAATCTTATGTGCACACATCACAATTGCGACCATGGATAGACGCATCTGGACAAACACCCGCACTACGCCAAGCCCCGCTTCGAGTCGGACGATTTCGTCATCAAGCACTACGCAGGCGACGTCACATACTCGGTCCATGGGTTTGTCTCCAAGAACACAGACAACCTCCACGAAGATTTGGTTGAATTGCTTCGGACGAGGTTTGTCCGACTGCTTGTCCCATGCGAGTCTGACACATGCGACATGTAGCCAGTTGCCGGTGCTAAGTGCGATCTTTGCGCCCGCGCCGCAGCCGATTTCGTTGCGGCACTGCGAGAGCAGCGGCACACCGACGCACCGTCGCCAAGTGAGCGTCGCCCTCGTCGGTTCCAACACGGTCGCGAGCAAGTTTCGCACACAGGTCTTGCATTCGTGATCGACATGTGGTCGTGACAGTTATGTAGCTCACGGGCCTCATGGAGATGCTCGGCAGCACGACGCCCCATTACATCAAGTGCATCAAGCCCAACAACATCAAATTTGCCGGCGGCTTTAGCTCGCAGCTCGTGCGCGACCAGCTCGTGTACGGCGGCATCCTGGAAGTCATCAAGATTCGGCAGCAAGGCTACCCTATTCGCCGGTACACTGTGTCCTCATTTTTGCTTTGACCTTTCTTCGTGTCTGCGTAGGCCCTTTGACGACTTTTACCAGACGTTTGCGATGCTGTTGCGGGGCCGGCGTCGCGCCGAGGGACCGGCCACCGACACGACGGAGCTTGTCCGAGCGATTTGCGAGTCGGCACTGCTGCCAAATGCGTTCCAGATTGGCAAGCGCGAGGTATCCAGCCTCGAGCATATGGCTACACCACGCCTTTGTAGGTGTACCTGCGCTACGGACAGCTCGAGCTACTGCAGTCGGTCTTGACTGGCATCAAGGGCGAGATTGCAACTGTGCTGCAGTCCAAGTTTTGGCGTTGCCACTCGCTTCGCAAGCGCTATCAGCAGCTTCGCACGCGCGTCATTACGCTCCAAGCCAAGTGGCGTCAGCGAGCGGCCACAAAGTCGTATGCGGCTCTTCAGCACTACACACGCAAGCTCCAGGTACGCGACTCGATTCGATACCGCCTTGCATTGTTCCATCGAACACGCTACAGGCGAATCGACGCTGCAAGGCGCTGTCGCGCCTGTATGCGCGCAAACAAGCCGCAGCGATCCGGCTGCACGCGATTGCCCGGGGGTTTGCCACTCGCCAGTACGCCCTTGATCTTCTTGGTGTCGAAATGAAGTGAATGACGTGGCAGGCGGCTTGTGCGGCAGGCCAAGATGCAGACCGCCGCCATTGCCATCCAGCGCATTGCGCGGGGATTCCTCCAGCGCACCAAGGCGGAGCGCGCGCTGCGCTGCCGTATCCAGAGCGCCGTAATCCTCCAAGCGCGCTTCCGGGGCTACCTCCAGCTCCGCCGCTTCCACCGCATGTACGAGTCGGCTGTGACGATCCAAGCATTGTTCCGTGCGCATCGCAACCGACAGCAATACCTCCGCGGCAAGGTACCATACTGTCCTTCAAAGAAAGGTCAGCAAATCGTGCACGCTAGGCTGCGATGGTGGCGTCCCAAGCGCTCATTCGCAAGATCCTGCAGCGGAAGCGCTTCATGCACCAGCGCCGCATGGTCATTCGTCTTCAAGTACGAAGCATCCCCGTCCGAAGGATCCGATACATTTGGTGGGCTAGGCATTTGCACGCATGGTGCCACCTCGTGGTCGCTACAGCCGGCTACGCACTGCGACCGTCCTCGTTCAAAGTCGACGCCGCGGCTACACCCAGCGGCGCCGGTACCTGGCGCAACAGCACGCCCGCGCCACGTTGCAATCGCACCTTGTCATGTACGTGCACAAGCGACGCTTCCACGTGCTCCGTTGCAGCACGGTCCGCATTCAGGTATGGAGCCGTCGATGATCGGCGCTGGAAAATTGTTTGTAGCGGGCGCTACGCGTGTACTTGAGCCGCCGCGCGTACATGTACGCGCAGCGAAGTGTGCGCAAGCTGCAACGCACCGTGCGGGCCTATCTGCGTCGTCGCCGTCTCGCGACAACGCTCCAGCACCTTCGTGACGCGTGTGTCCGGCGCGACGCGGATGCCGTGATCCTCGCGCTCCGTCTCTCGCCCGAGTACGTCTACATCCGGCACAAGGCCGCCGAGATGCGGTCGCTCCTCCACGTTGCCGCGTGCGCCGGGGATCTGAACGTAGTCAAGTACATTTGCTTGCACGACCTTGACACGCTTCATGCACGCAACGCAGTGGGGCACACTGCGCTTCATGACGCGTGCTTGGCCTCGCGCTTGGACGTGGTCAAGTTTCTCGTCTCATTTGCCGCCGAGAAGGCGCCCATGGACCCGGCCTTCGATAACGGCGATGAACGATGCATGACGGACAGCCGCCGGCTCCGCGAAGCGTCCAAGTCGTACATTACCAGCGCCGTCGATGCCAACGGCGTCACCGTGCACACGGGGTTCCTCAAAAAGCGCCGCGAAGCCTCGCGTTGGTCCAAGCGCTTTGTCGCGCTTCGCAACACGCAGAACGTGCCCGAGCTGCACTACTTCAAGTCGAAATCGCAGACCAAGAGGTAGATCAAACACACAGTCGATTGTGGTGGACCATGTCGTTGCACTGGATTTGCGTAGTGACAAGGTCCTCGACATGCGCAAAGCGCTCTTCAAGAAATGCGCCGACATTCCATTTGCGTTTGAAGTGCACTCGCCCGAGCTCCTCGAAGGGTATGGGACAAACGATGTATTTGCCATATCGGCTGACGTAGACGCAACCGCGAGGGTCGGCTCTACTTTCAGGCCGAGAGCGAGCTCGAGCTCCAAACGTGGCTTGCGTGCCTTCGCGACACCGTGCCCACGAGTCTCGAACACCGGTACATGCAATGCGACTTTGCACTTGGCCTTTCTGAGTTTGCACTTACAGGCTCTTTGCGATGCAGCGTTCGAGTGCGAGCATGCACTTCGTGAGTCGGTCGCAGCAGCAAGCGTGGTGCAACGTGCCGACGCGCGACGGGGACAGCCCACTGCACCTCGCCGTCCTTGGTAAGACGACGGCCGACCCGCGGGACGCTGTCAAGGCCGCGCTGTGGTTTCTCGAGAACACGGCGTCGGTCGACAAGCTGCCGTCATCGCGAAAGAAGTCGCTTAAGCAAGTGATTCAAGAGACGAACCAAGTCCTCTCGCCACTCTTGAGCCCGACGACAAAGCTCGACTCGGCCGAGATCGACGCCATCAAGCTCGTTCTCTGGCTCATCGAGCACGGCGCCGACATGAACCTCGTCTCGAGCGTAGCCAAGAAGACGCCGCTCAAGCTCGCGATTGAGCGCAACTACCACACGCTCGCCAAGGTACTTGTTTTTATTCTTTCAATGTTTCAACTTGGCGAGGTGTAGTTTTTGCTGGATCGAGGCGCGACGACGGCCGAGCTCTCGCCGTTCGAACTCACAGTCGTCCAGTCGCTCAAAGCCGAGCTCGCCAAGATTGTCGTCACGAGCGTCCAGTCGAGCGCGTCAAAGAAAGGGGAGGCACCGATGGTCTTCCTCATGAAGCAGCCCGGCCTCGTGCGCCATAGCTCGTACCTCTCCGTCTACGTCGAGCAGATTGGCTTGCCAAACGCCCAGCACCTCTCTCGTCCGCGCGTCATCGTCTCCGTCTACGGTACAAATCGATAGATTGATACATAGGACTGAGGTGTGCGCCAGACGTGTCGAAAAACTTGATTGAGAAGAAGCAGCTCGTGACGTGTCTGCCGCTGGCCCAAACCTCGCTGCTCTACTATGGCTTTACGTGGTTTATGCAGACACCGTTCGAGAACCTCCCATCCGGTACACTGCCAGCTATTGCGCTGCTGGGTCTTGATTGTGTCGCCAGGTGCGTTTATTGTGCTTGAAGTCCAAGCCGCGTCCAAGCTCGCGGATGACATGCCGAGCTCGCCCAAGTTCAACGAGACGCAGGACATTTGCTGGACGTTCATCCACATTGACCAGCGCTCGACGACGACGTGTGCGCTCAACGCCGAAATGTACGCGCATCCCGTCGACCTCAAGTTCAAGAAGCTCCAACGCTTTGACGCGTTCGTATCGGGCGACATCTCTGTCCTCCACGGCTAAGACACTCGGTCATCAATGCATATCTCTGCCTACGTACGGTAGCGTTCAGGCATTGAAGGATGGATAGTGACATGTTTCTACTACAAACGAGAACCACGCTACTTCGAACCTCTCTCGGCTCTATTAGACGGTGCTGGCTACGGGAGGACCGTGGCGCCCGATGGTCGAGAACCACGTCGAGAAGCCAACGGCCGCCAAGAAGACAGCGCCAAGGGACACGAAGACGAGGGTTTGGAACGCGTGCGGGTCGGCGAATGCAATGCTGACGAGGAGCATGCCAATGTAAAAGAGCTTGGTCGTCGCGCTCTGCATCGCGTTGATGGTGCCGCGCCGATGGACCTCGACCCACTCTTGCATGATCTGCGTCTCGGCGAGGTCGGCGCTCCAGAGCCACGCGCGCGAGAGAAGCACGGCCACGATCATGACGTAGTCTGTGATCTGCACTTGACCAAAGAGCACAAACGACGCGCCGACGGGAACCAGCGTGAGCCAGAAGAGCCAGACGCTCACGACAGCGACGCGTTCGACGCTGCCGATACCGCGAACGAGCAGCGGGAACAGCAGCGTGCCGAGGAGACCAAAGAGTGCACCGAGCCCCGACGTGGCGCCTACAACCAATCGAGTCGAGCGCTGTCATCGTCAGCAAGAGTGAGAGGAGTGTACCGAGGAGTGAGAGCGCGACGCCGCGCCATTGCAGATAGGCAATGTTGAGGCCGCTGCCCGAGAGCACCGTCATGTAGAGCGCGCAGTAGGCAAACGACACGAGGAACGTCGGGTGCGCCGCGTACGCTGCCCACATGGACGTGTACTGGCGCAGCGACAAGGTGGCTTTCGGCTTGGCGCTCTCAATGTGCGACGAGTTGGCGAGCGCCGGCACAAGCGCGTAGACATCCCGAACCATGGCGTATTCCAGCGGCGCCGACATCAAGTTCCAGACGCCGACCGCGGCCGCCCCTAATGTAGCCCGTTAGAGAGAGAGGCTAGGTTGTCGATGAACATACCGACGGTCGCGCGGGTCATGGGGTCGGACCCTGCATAGTCCATGAGGATACCAAAGGCCGCCGGCGCGAGCAGCTTGCACGAGAGGTCGATGCGGCGCATGGTTGTGTTCCAGTCGCCGAGGCGCGTCGATGTCTCGGTCGCAATGACGACGACCCAGTCCTTCTCGAGCGAGAGCGTCTGCGCGTCGCTAAACACTTGGCCAACCGCGCCAAGGGCGATCGTGCATCCAAAGAGCAATGTGAGCGGCCACGTCCACGTCCACTGGATCCTATTGGTTGTTTTCAACATCAATGCCAACAGAAAGTGCAATCTCAGCATACGTGGCAGCGCCATGGATCAGATACAGCATGCTGCCGAGCGTAAAGGTGCTAAGCAGCACGCAGGCGTTCTCGATACCAATCGAGACGTTGAGGACGGTCATGCGGTTCGTGTGGTCGAGCCACTGCCCGAGCGACGGCACCGCCGCGACGCCGACGACGTACACCACCTACGCCGAATGATGATCGTCATCGCCTCCCACGAGATGCCATCGCGGTGTACGAGCGAAAACACCGCGCTCGGCAGCAGCGTGTTGACAAAGATCTCCATAAAGAGCAGCGGAATCGCAAACTGCCACATGCGATCGCCCTATGAACAAAGTGTCATCGTCCGTGAGGACTGGAAAGGACACGTACCCAGGCCGACATGAAGTGGCTCGCATACATGTAGGCGTGGACACGTGCCGTAACAGCGACGCCGTTCATATCGACGAGACGCGGCGCCGGCCTACGCGTGCATGGTGAGCGGATGTCAATGAGATAGAACGAGGACGCACGAAGACAAGAGCGCAGTCGCTTCGGTACTCGGTGTGCGGTGGTCGCGGTGGTGGGCAAGGACGCAGTAGAGAATCGGCAGCAAGGTCGCAGCGCCCACCATGCCCATGGGCAGCACAAACTCATTCGGTACAGGGCAGTCGTCCGGCGCTACCGCGCAGCCTACGTAAATGTACGTGGGTCGAGAAGGCAGTGGGAAGTGTCAGTCGTACCACCGCTGACGCTGAGAAGCGCGAGACTGGCCGCGCCGAGGAGCGCGCCGACACGAAGCGTGGCGTCCATCAGTCGTCGACTTCAACGAAAAATGAAAATGATCGATCGCTGAAAGCCAAGGAAATATTAATGGAACCTTGGATCGCTTGACTGAAGCCAGAGGACAACCAGATGGCGGCTTCAATCGACCACCTTCAACCGTCGTTGAGGACCACGGCAACAGCGCCAGCAACGCGACGTGTAAGGGAGGGTGCGGTGGCTAATAGTGTGGAGAGGGAGCGCAGATCCATGCGCAAGGCTTACTACTCGATTCTACAAGCTAAATCGCTGTCATGGGGAAGCATGCACTCTTGCGACTTTCGACATGGGTTCAGTGACATGAAACATGTCGGTTCAACCTTGGATCGTGAAGGAGCATCTTGAAGCCGCCGTCAAGAGGCTGTCGTCACGACATATTACTCAAGCAGCGCCGAGGTGCGTGCCATGGACGAGCAGCAATTTCGTACCAAAGCAAATGTAGTAGCACGTCAAGGCCTTGGTCATATCAACTCCACACGTTTAACGACTAAGCTTCGTGGAGTACGCTGTAATAACTACAGGTTTCAAAGCAATGGTTCACACAACCACTGTACTGGAAGCCTGTGGAGATCGCGACTGGTCCCGCGGCTGGCTCGCAAGCCGTGTCGATGCAGCCATCGCGCAGCTGTCGCCGGACGGATCTCAGAGGGGGCACGACGAGTGTGCTGCTGCTTTTTCGCCAGCCGCAAACGCACGTGTGTGGCCCCTGCTTGCAGTGTACCGTAGGCGCACTCGAGGAGGAGTCGAGGACACCAAGACGCACCACACAAAATACATATTCACGACACGCTCTTAGGGGCGGTAGTAGAACGTGTGGCCGTTCGGGCACATGTACTGTCCGGGCTGGCTGCCCGGCGGCATCTGGACGCGGGTCATGCACGATGGACACTGCCGCATGACGATACCGCCCGAGGGCGCACGCAGCGGGGGCGGCGCCGCGGCCGACGACGGCATGCGGAGGGTAAAGAGGTGGCCGTTCGGGCACTGCAGCGTGCCCCGCGCGGTCGAGCTCACGAGGCACCGGATGCGGCAGGCAGGGCACTCGACGATGACGTTG